CTTTCCTGATTTTCGGCTTTAGCGTCATTATTGTATATATATTGAACTATAGCTTTCGAAAGTTTTATCACTTTTTGTTTATAATTGACATTTTTACAGCAACTTTAAAAAATTGACGTTTTATACCGTTTTTTCAATCTCACGGCTTTGTTATTGCAAATTTCGTAATCGGACCACGCCATTTTGTAGCTATTTTTATTACGAACAAAATATGTCCTAAGCATTTTTTCATACAAAATCATCCCGCTGAGTTATTTAAAGAAAACTACTAAAAACAAATTTTTCACGATTAAATTGTTAATAACTTTTTTCCTGATAAAATACTTTGTCAGCAAATTAACCTGTTATTGTACTCATCATTTAAAGTATTTCTGTGTAGTTATTTCCGAGTTATCACGGAAATGTCACCAACAGTAACTTTTCGGCCTCTGCCGACTGGACTATAATAAAACAAAGTTGTACAGATTCAGAAAATTTATATCTTCAAAGTATCTACTCTAGTTTAATTTAAGATACTTATATAAATTAGGTTTTCAATACTGTTTTTTTTTTTACTTTTATACAAGGTTTATCAAGTCTAGAACCAAGACATGATATAAATTTGACTTTTTTTTTTTAATTGTATTCGGATTCATACTCAACTATACTACCTGCAGAAAAGTATAACTTTTCTAAACTAAAGTATCTTGAAAGCGGATAAATTTTCGAAATTAGATACATAAAAGGTCGGCCAATAACATAGAATAGGTATTCAGAAGAATATTCAGTTTCCGAGTTTAATATTTTGGATATAAAAAGTCACATGTTAGCATCCCAGTGATGAGAGAGTATGATGGTTGAAACACCGCTAACAATAAGAAAACTTATACTGGGGGAAATCAAATAATAATAAAGTTTTGCTAAAATAATATTTATTATAATAGCAATTCTTCTTATTTGTGTTAAAATATCATATGCCAAGTTGAATAAAAATTATTTTGCTATGCTATTTTACTACCTTAAGTGATGCTATTTACTAGAACAACAAGGTAGCCAGAGCACCTTCTTACGGTGAATAGGTACATTTTTTCTAGCATTTGTTCCACTAATGGCCACTAGATAACTTATTGCACTAAGTAAATGACTTTAGTTGAGGCCTGCTTATTACCAGTTAAAAATAATTTACCTATGGCGATATGAGCAACTAGATATTTTTTTAGCTCGTAGTAATCATAGTTGACACGCAGACGCAAAGGGTACCTTGTTCGTCTTTCAAACAAAAAACGCTATTAAATTAAACAAAACTGAAATATACAAAACTCCTTCAATAGACGCATAAACCGAAGCAAAATTCGTATCATCCAACAATTTTCCGCGAAAGTTTCAATAAATGCCACTTTTGAAGCGTGTAACTGTGGGACAGATTTAAAAGAATATTTTCAATGGTCTTTTTAAATCGTATAGGAGATGTGGTGTTAAGGAATCCTTTTGCATATACGATGAATGGCAACAATTCAATACTTTTTAAAACTTTTGTATAATTGTCTCCCCAAAGTTGTAAAAGGAATACAACTGGTTGGTTATATAGAGGAATTTTAACAATTGCACAGAGAATGGGTTTTTCTGAGCAAATTAAAAAAAAATCAGATTCGAACAGAGGACACATATCTACGTTTAGGGTATTCTTTGTTTATATTCAGGCTTTGATTATGCTATTATTAAACGAGATTCAATATGAAAATTTTTATATTTCTTTTCCTAAAAAAAATTTTTTTTTATATTAGCTTTCCTAATTTTACTTTATACTTTAGCAAATGAAATCAAACAATATTCTTTGATATTTCTTTGAAATATTATATTATTTAATAATTCCAATCTGTCAGGTATCTTTGAATTAATAACACAGACCGACAAAATAAAAAAATCGTGTGATTTTGAGAAGTGACCCCACCTATCTGTAGCAAAATTTTCCGCTGGATTCGAAAATGAT